TCGTCAATGGTTAAAAGCAAAGTCTTACAGCACAAGTAAATTTCGAAAAGATCGAGAAAATTCCGAAAAACATAAAAAAGTTTCTTTACTTGATGTTGACTTAACTCCTTGATTTTTATACTACTAAGAAAGACTATAGACCTGGTATAAATTTCAACTTGCTAGGTCCAAGAAAATCGTTTGTGATTTACCAATTTTATTATGGCGTAAGTACGGAACCCTCGGCGTACGATGTGCGTTTTTTTTTTTAATTCATATATTGTTCCCAACGGGTTACTTGTCCTGTTTGTATTATACAAATACTTGTCCTGTGCTGATATGATTCTGGGCACAGAGCCTTTATAGCTTAGCAATTGAACTACCGAGATACTTCAGTCATAGGTCTATCTCCAAAAAATGTTTTTTTCACTTTAGAAACAAATCATTTAAGAAAAGCACTTTATATACATGCATGTTTGCATCATGGTTATCCTCGAATATAATATAATATACCGAACTCATATTTGTATAATATTGAATTATATAAGAAACTACTGTAAGCTCATAAAAGTATTTTTGGAGATAGAATAATGTTGACCAAATTACAAGGTTCCCTTGACCATAAATAAAAATAAATCTAAATAAATCTATAAATATTCTTAATTTTGTTTTAATTCTTTAATTTACAGCGACATTACAAACGATATAATTAAATCAATACAAATATTCTAAAAAGGAACAAACGATCGAGCCAAAATGGAATTGTTATCCAAACCGTACGTAACAATATTGATACGATCGCAATACTAAGTCCGGGGAACCTTCACACAATTGCAAATGGCAGTGCTTTGTGCCACAAATTGTTCGTTGGATTGGTTAATAAGCAGTGTCTTTCTCAAAATGATTCATTCTTAGATGGACTTGCCTAGCGTACAGCTAGCTGTACTTTTATTGTTTTGAATTGTAAATAAATCACGAGATTTATAAATAAAAGTTTCAGAAAGAAATAAATCGTTCAAGTGATTAAAAATTACATATGCAACATTATATTTACTCAAATTTTCTAGTCGAGCAACACAAAACGATTAATGAAATTTCGAATTGTAATGGCCTTTATGGTATACTTCACACGTAAAGTGAACTGTTTTATTTTAAATTGAACCATGCGGGAGAGCCTCGGGGATAAAACTAACCGTCAAATAAAGTTTGATGCATAATTCACCGCAGACAATGAAAATAATTGCGGTAACGTTATTTAAGGGAGGCAGAGCGTAATTTACCAAAACAAGTCTTATCTGTCAAAAACACGCAGATTTTGTACCATTTACAATATTTATAAAAGTGTACGTGTTAGCTTGAAAACACTGTATACCTATATTGAGTGTATTTTAGTAAGCATTTTTAATATTATTTAGTACAATATTTTGGATTGCAATAAATTTGTAATTAGACTGGCCAGTACTATGTCTTTTAAAAAAGGAATAATTGTAAACATTTTATATCTTATTTCATAGATCATGTGTTATACTTATAGTAATTTAATTTTTTCAATATTTACATTACGCTCGGCTATTATTTTAGACATTTATGAGAATGAACTGATATAAAAGTAAAGGCAGTAAATAATTGTATAAGATTGACCTTTATTCAAGAAACGGAAATTTGTTAATAAGGAAAAGAGGGATAAAGAATTTTTTCATTCCTCTTCGTGCTCTCGTACGGAACGGACGTCCTTCTAAGACCGAAAGCACATGCCACCCGAATTAGACGCAACTCGCAACCTCGGTTGCAATTTATATCTTGTGCAAATAGTGCAGTAGTTTAGTGTTAGTGTAGTGTTGTGCTCGTAGGCAGGTTCCTGTTTTGTAAGTAGAATCCTACACACACTTCTCGCCTCAGAGGCGGCATTGTTTCATTTATTAACTGTGTGCTTGTTGCAATAGGCGACAGCTAGGTACCCACCCTAGCGCACCTTAAGCGCAGGCAAATTAGTTGTTATTTTTAGGCACACTCCTCCCTGCCGCAAGGTGGGGAGGCTTAGTTAGCTCACACACGCCGGCGGGGCTACAAGCCCCAAAGGTACTTACGTCGCGATGGGCTCCCTTTTCGAGGAGTTCGTTCGCAGAGAATGCCCCGCTATGTGGGAACGTTATCTTGCCTATGCAGCCGAGCATAGGCAAGTAGCTGAACTCGCATCGCCGCCATTCGCGCCGTCTGCGCCCGTTACCCCGTCGCCCTCCAGGACCTTAGAAGCCCCCGTCGCTTCGGCATCCGCTAACGCGAACTCGCCCTTAGCGCCTTCCGTGCAACCGAACCCGACTTCTTTCCGCTCCGTCGTACCCGACTCACAATCGGACGGCGGATCGGACATGGAGGTCGAAACGACCCCCGCTGAAAATCCGAACGCCGACGGCTTCACCGTCGTTAAATCGCGTAAAAAGGGCAAGAAGCTTTTCGATATCGAGTCCAGGGCACCATCTCCACAAGCCGCCACCTCACGGCCGGCGTACCACAAGGCTCCTGCCTCTCACCTTTGCTCTTTACGCTCTACACGAGCGACATACCCAAAGACCCCCACGCCAATCTCGCGCTTTTCGCGGATGACACAGCGCTCTTTTATTCAGACCGCAACCTTAGTCAACTAACCACTCGACTCCAAAGCGCCGCCAACCGCCTCGGCGATTGGTTCCGCAAATGGAGAATAGAAATAAATCCCGAAAAGAGTGTGGCGATTCACTTCACACGAAGTACTTACCCGTCACATCTTTATAATGGCCCTCGCCAATGCAGAAAGTTGGGGCAAATATCCCTTTATGGCCAACCGCTCCCCTGGGAGAAAAAGGTCAAATACTTAGGAGTCACTTTCGACTTGCGTATGTCATTTACTACGCACATTAATAACGTTTGTAATAGAGCCGCGTTCGTCTCCGGCCGGCTACACGATTTAACTAACGCTAAAAGTAAAATGTAAAGGCACAAATTATTATTATATAAGACCTGCGTACGACCTATTGACGCGCATGCATGATCTTCGCCCACACGCACCATACTCGCTTGTACAAGCTGCAAATAGTACAAAGTAAGTTCATCCGCCGTGCAACCGGTGCGCAGTGGTATCAACGCAACGTCGATCTGCACAGCGATTGCAGACTCCCGACGATTCGCGAATATTTTAAAGACCTGACCAAACGGTTCTTCGATAGAGCCGAACATCATCCCAACCCTCTGGTGGTAAGCGCAGCAAATTACCAACCCGACACAAACGCGAACGTCAACAAGCGTCGCCCGCGAAACGTCCTCATCGACCCGGTCGAGGAAGGGGACTTAGCTACGCCGGACCCACCGTCGGGGGTCCCACCGGATAACACTACACCCACAGCTAGTGTAACAACAAACACAATAGTTCGCCCTCGCCTCCGAGCACGGCGAGACCAACACAACGCGTACACAAGGTACACCCGCGTTCCAGGGCGGTTCTCACCGCCCCCAGCCACCGATTAGCTAAAAACACAGTCGACGGCCATCGGGATCTCGGTCCGCACCGCAACTTCGATGGCCCTTAGATGACATGTCGTAGTTAAACGCACGCATGAGCACATGCGCGGCCCTACCCACAGCGGAGGGCCCAAACCCGTGGGTTCTGGCTAGCCCACCGGTTCTGCGTCAGATGAAGCTTTAATAATCTCGGGACTGAAAGCAAAAATATCAGTTAATACAAGATACAAGATTTTTTTTTCATAAGTAGACAATCATTTATAATCGGTTCAATGTTTCTCATTAGAAACATTGAACCGATTATAAAGCAATACTAAAACAAAGTCATTACTTTGTTTTAGTGTTGCTTTATATGATTTGTTAGGTACTTTTTGTTTTATTGTTTTATAATGTTCTACCATATTATCGCATTGGTTTAGCCTGCCATAGCGTGTGATAGCTGTGTCTGATATAAAGAAAGATATATAATTACATATATTGAAATAAAATTCCATCCGACTTATAAATAACAGAAATACGTTTTAAATAAAATGTACAAAGGCTTAAGTTTTCCACGATATAATTGACCAGTCTTTTGTGCGAAAAATGAATTTTTAAAACATATACACCGTGTCACTACTACTATACCGCGACCATGATTCAACACATATATAGGGGATAACTTTTTAAATTGTATTAAACATTTACTTTCTGTAAACATCAATATTTACGAAGTTATTACGGGAACAAATAATTTTACAACACCAGTACTTATGAAACTGTAACGTACATTTCATTTGTAAAGATCTCAAAGCATATTTTATGAATAGGTTGAATGAATTTAAAAGAGATAAAACGTACTGTTAGAAGGAGAGATTTGTAATGCGATTTTGTGGCAACGAATGACTGAACGTATGAATCAGTCAGTTCTAGTTGTAAAGCATGTTTTTTACAAATTTGAGTTCTTTTTTATTTAATTACCTACTTTTTTTTAATATTTTTAGTTATGGATTTTTTATCGTTTATATTTTTTAAAATTATTGACAAGTAGCCTTAGAAGTATATTCATTTAAGGGCAAGGTTGTAACAGCTTGCTGCATTGCATTTGCAGCTTTTAAGCTGTCTAAGGTTTTATTCGAATATTTTTCTGATGTTGCTGAGCATTTAGCCTTCTAATCAACACAGTTCAATATATAATATTTATTATTATTGTCATAATTTGTTTGATTAATTGAATCCAAATTTATTACAATGTCATACAATCCGCCATCTGGTATTTACATTAATTGTTAGATAACGAGTGTTTAGGATAACAATTTATTATATTAAGAAACAACATGACGTATTAAGTAGTACATTAGACGAAAACAAGTTTTAATTTGTACTTTCATTGATCACAGCTTTGAGACTAGGATATCACGATAACTATTAAATTCCTTTTGATAAAACAATGTTTAAAATAATATTAAACAATCGAATAAAATACATTATTTTCTGGTTTCAGTATATCTCCGTTGGCGTATCCCGATGAGCTACAATTCATGTACATGGAAGCGACTTTAAGGTAAATTTTATTTTCTGTTTAATTTCTAAATGTGGTGTAATCATATAAATTTAATTCGATATTTATTACTAAATAGAGAAGTACCACAACCTCACAGAAGACCGGCCTGTAATGAAAGATATATATACTTCTGCGTTTTGTCTGGTCAGTGAGGTAACCAGGATCCACTTTATTATAAAATGGCATCGCACCTGCCACTCTACGGGTGTTACAAATGTAAATGGATGACAGTTATCACTTAAAGTAATTTCGTCCAGTTTTTCTATAAGTTTTAATAAGATCTGTATCTCATACGAAATGTACGACAAGAAGGTATAGGAATATGATTCTAAACTATCTGTGTCTACTGATTAAGAGTTATACTACACTAAATGTTCAATTGTCTCATAATATAATCTTTTGCAAGAATCTGTGGTCTATCAAACCTGATATAGTGGTTGAGTCGATTCAAGGTGTATTCACAGACTGCAGACTTGTTTAAGTTTTTATGTTTCAAGTCAGCTATATGTTCCCTCATGTGGGTTTTTACTGCTGATATTATTTGTCCTATGTAAAGGAGCTGGCATTCACGTCCAAGATAATATGTATACTTCTTGATCTTTCAGAGAGTTAAGCAGTTGACAGATAGTAAAAACTGACTATCTTCTTCAGCGGCCACTGGAATGTTTTAATCAAATTTTTAAGATTTAGCCTGTCCTGTTGGTGGCTCATACAGTATTATGTAGAACGCGCGTGTGTATCGCTGTACTGTGACTGGTTTCGTCCTTAAATATAGTTTCACTTAATAATGTGTTACACTCGCGTCTGTTGGCGCTGGCAACACTGTATACTGGATATGACGTTAACTATTGGAGCGAAGGGACACATGATCGCATGAAGCAGTGGGCACTTGGATTTCGACTGCGTTCCCGGACGGTGATATAACCACTAGTGCGGCTTGTCGTTATAATAGTTGTTAATATTCAAGTTCAGTAATAGTTAAAATATTAGGATCAAGGTAAAAACGTTAGAATTCTTATACGTTTATACAAGAAGTTATCACCCCATTATTTCAATAAGATTTTTCCTCTTCACAAACACCACACGCACCAACTAATGCAACTGTAAATTAAAACGATAGCGGGCAAAGTGTTGAACGAAGTAGAGCGAGCCCCTTAAACACACTCAAGGGTTTATTGTTACGGCAGCCCCGGCAACGTGGAAATTTAGGTGCCCACGTTTGTTTAAGAACAACCCATCTTTAGGTAATTTTCATTATAGCCTACCATAATTTTGCGCTCTTCGTGGCTTCGTAAATATTTACGTTTTCGCTAATAAAATCTTTTGATGAATACTATTACCCATAAATGTTAATTTACGTCGTCCGAATCTGTTCCAATACAGTAGTAGTTTTATAACAGGTTTTTAAATAACTACATGAGCTTAAATGCTCATATTAATTGGCAAATACAATGCTAGAAGTTATGATTAGCTTAGTAAAGCAGTTGATAAATATACTTAATAGGAAGACATTGTTTTAAATCGTTTATATTTTAAAATTATTTTAATGCCTTATTAGTAAAATTGATTATATTACAAGAATAATATTTTTTTTATTTTCATCGTTTAGAAATGCACACAACACCTCGACCTATTTATAGAATTTATTAGAATAAGAAAATTGTGGACTTAATATAAGAAGGTTGAAAGACATTTCTTTAAAACTTTAAACTGTATATGTATATAAAACTGTATATGTATATAAATTATAGCCTATGTTTTATTCCGATGTATAAGCTATATTATTGTAAAGTTTCGTTAAAATCCATTCAGTAGTATTTGCGTGAAAGAACAAACATCCATCCATACGTACATACAAACTTTCGCCTTTATAATATTAGTAAGGATTTTTGCATTTTATCCGATGAGTGAGGTAGGCAATGCTTTAGCAACCTGTCAAGTGTTGTAGATATCCTTGGGCTTGTATGGTGTAATCACTTAAGATCAGGATGCTTACCAACTATTATTTAAGAAAAAAGCCCGCTGAGTTTCTTTCGCCGGTTCTTCTCAGTAAAGTGGTTTTCTTTTCTGAACCCGCGGGTTATTATTTTGAGTATCAATAAGCGAACGATTTGATTTGATTTTACTATTACATAAAAATATTAATATAATTTCTCTGTTTATAGAAAAATAATCACTGCCATGATAATGAAGCTTTAAAATTACTTCCTAAAAAGATTGCATTAATGTCACCTTTGTTTTCAAATTAAAAACAAACAGGGTAGGGACTTTTGTACACCAAGTCAGAAACTTTTCGGTAATGAATGCAAATACTGCCCCGGAATATGGGTTTAGGGGCAAAAGTTAAATATTTCAACGGAATAAAAAAGGTCAGATGGTTACAATGAGGGTCTAACGTAAATAAGTGCGAGAATGTTTTCCTGGTTTTACATACTTAAGTACGTGCTTTTTTTAATGTAAACAGATTATACCCGCAGTAATCGGATCTTCTTATGTTATTAACGAATATAACATCTATTGAGATAATAAAATTATAGTGTTTCATTGTAAAATTAAAATAACCGCTTTTTACTAAACATAAATGGATATGTACAGGGTCCGTATACCAAAATAACATTTTTTGCAATTTTTGTCTGCCTGTCTGTTTGTTCCGGCTATTCTCTGAACCGGCTGGACCGATGTTGAGATGGCAGATAGCTAATGTAATAAGAAGTAATTTAGGCTATATAAGAAATTTTATTTATTTTTAATTCCACGCGGATGAAGTCGCAGGAACAGCTAGATACAACAATTTGATATAGTTTAATGAAATCATTATTAATCTTTGTGGTCTTTTATTTTCAAGAAGTTTAATAATAATTTCACTCTTTGACGTATCCACGAGATGCAGATTCTGTTTCTCTCTCCCGTGCAGTTATTATACCCACACGGTAGTGGGGTCTGCCTTGCTTGTCTTTCGCTTCCACTTCGCTCTATCCATCGCATCGTCATGGGTAACATTGCAGATGTTGAGGTCTTTTCTGAGTATCTCTGTCCATCTTAATTTTGGTCTTCCTCCTCTCCGGGACCCTGGGATGTCCAGATGGTACGCTCCTTTCCCAGTGTAGTCAGAAGGTCGACATGCATATTATTAATAAAAAAATGCGTTATTTGAAAGATATTGTTACAATTCATCTATAATATGAAATTATGGCATTGGTACGAATGTATGTACGCATCCGCTATGTATGTAAATTTAGATAAAATACTGCGAGTATGTGCACGAATGTTTCGTATAAAAACTCTTTACAGATTTTAAGGCATCAATATTAACTTTTTTTACGAAATTTCATTAAAAAAAGTGATTAATAATAATCGCGACTTTAAAATTCAGAACATGATATGTAAGCTTGTACTTTTCAAAATAATCGTCAAATTAATAATTATAGTTATAATGAAGCCGTTCCTTTGTCTTAATATTTTTGAATATTTGAATTTTTTTTTTCAACTAATGTAAGAAAACCTTTCGCAGTGCGATTTATGTATGTATTTATAATAGCAATTTATAATTTTTAATAGGTAGGCATAATATCTAGGATAGTTGTCACAACTTGAATGATTTATTGCCAGAACGTATTAATATAGATTTATTTAAGACTACCAATATATAGAAAAATATAAACGTGTACTAGCTAATAGCTGGTCCGCCAGACTCATAGCTGTAAATTATCGTCGTGACACAGAAATGAAACGAGTTTATATGACTTTAATGTGTGGTGTCACTGAGAAAGTGTAGCACGTTCAATAACACTAGAAGTTGTCAAGACACAAATGATAATATGGAAAAATGATTTATCATGTTGCTAATAAAACGTTAAAGAATTGGTTGTGATAGACATAATCGCGATGCTAATACGTGCATCGGAGCTAACTTTTATAAATTCCTAGTATAATAATTGTAATAAGTAATCAAATCATGCTCATAGCACCTTTGAAAGTTTTCGTTTCATCCAAATTGCTAAAAGAAGAAGAAATAATCATGTATAACTAATTAATATTACACGTTACTATATGGTTTCTGACATATTTTAATTATTCGTCACAAAATAAATGCATATTGTCTGATTCTTTTGAATATTGTTGAATAGATCTGACTTATAAAAATACGCAAACATTTCTAAATTCACCAAATAGTGGTCAACAGGTGTTCGCTTAAAGAGCGCCGAGAAAAACCAAACAAAAAGATAGAAACTGTGACTGATCTCTCACCGCACAATCAAACTATCCTAACTTTTTAAGATGATCACAGACTATCCCAGTCTGTGATCATCTTAAAAAATTAGTCAAATTATTTAAAATAAGTTTTAACTACAGCTACATAAACGAGTATATAAAAAAATGAACTAGAGTAGAAGCTCGATAAAACTAAAGGTCTGAATAATCCTGACGATATATAGTAGACGACGTATAGTTATGAAGATATGTAAATGAGATTTCTGTTCAGTTAAAAAAATTTCATTGTAAGCAAAGAGATTATTTACAGGAAATAGAAAATATTTATATAAGATCTAGACAGAAAATTATCTGACTAACACCTGAAAGAAATACACATTTTTCTTTCAAACATATTTGGAAAATGTTATTTGCATGTGTGAAGTAAATGCTGCTAATATTGTCAAAAGATATTTTTTGTCACAGATATAATTGCAGTAAGAACTCTGTATATCAAAATCATCAATTGTAAATCAGAAATAACCATAACTAGACATTAATGATAATGTAATAACATGTTTTTTTAGTCAATTATCTATGAAAATATACGGTGAAGAACTGAATCGAAAATTTAAAAACTATCTTCGTCGTAGCATTTCACAAGTTTTAGCATCTGCATTTTCATAAATATTTATACCTTTTGCTATCAATGCAACATTCGATATTGCTTTGACTGTTTCTGTATTCTGATGTTAATGACATAAAAATTGCTAACATAGTCTTAAAACAGAGAAAGGCAACTATACACT